CATGTGTGTTTGAAAATGTAAGTGTTATATCGATCGGAAGTTGGTCTTTCTGAGCTCACAGAAGAAATAATTATACAAGTTCATAAATGGAAAGATGTTGGACGAGGAAGGACGTCAAAAGTGAGATCGGACTTGCGACGAATTCAAATGAGCACTTCCATCTGAACCTTCACGATGGCTCTGTTGCCATGGGTCACAACGTAGAACCTCTGGTCCAGCCCTCCATTAAAACTCACAAAAGCGGGCTTGCCCTTGAACTCCGCCAGAGGCAACTCGCAAATGAACTTTAACCTATGGTTCAGAAAGACCAATCTCTGATTGCCATAATCGCAGACCATCACGTTCCCCTTTTCGTCAAAGGTGGCGTGTCTCGGCTGTGTGAGTTTCTGTCTGGGGCAGTTGGTGGAGTACTTGATAAGACATCTGCACATCTGGTCCAAAATGTATAAACACGAGCTGTCCCCCGCGGAAGTTACGAGAAAGTTTCTGTCCTGGTTTGTGGTGATGTAGGTAGGGCTGCGGATGTATCGAGGCAGGTTCGCTACCTTCTTCTGCTCGCCATTTGCATTGAAGATGATGAATTGTCGCTTGTCGCAGCAGAGAACTAACAGGTGGTCGTTGAAACCACGTGAGAGGACGACTAGTTTAGAGTTGATTTGAAGCGGCTTGAGTAAGATATCAGATTCAATGTTGATCCTGTGCACGAGACCGTTGTACATCTCTGAAATGTAAACTTTCTCGTTCATCGTGATCATGTCGCTAGGCAGGATGACGGCGGATATTTTGAATTTGTGGAGGTGTTTGAAGCTGCCTGTATCAAAGACACTGATGTACTTCGTAGCCCAGTAGCAGATGTAGAGTTTGGATTTATATATCGAGGCTCCCACCACTTCAAATTTCTTTTTCAGCTTTTTGAAGTTCTGAATTTCTGAACAAGAAAAAATAAATCCTTGATAAATGATTGTGAAAATTGTATGCAACATAAAAAATTACCAACAACAATACTGAAATTGTTATTTTGTGTCAAACAACAAACAAAAAAAAGACAATACAAGAACTCCACAAATACAAAAGAACGAACGAAATTTTATCTGTTTCTTAGAGTAAAAATTGGTTATAGGCATAGTAGGCTGGTTGAACATAAAAAAGTTATAAAAAATGTATCTAGTATGGCCACTTCAACAGAAAAACAATAATTACATACAACCAACAACCGCTTACTTTTATACATGAGATACCCGAATCCAAGATGATCTCTAGCCAGATCAAAAGCGCACTCCTGTCTAACAAAACGGACCTCTGGAATTCTCTCAATCTCCAAAAACTTCAAATCGAATTTCGGCTGGATGTAGGGTTTGTAGCCTGTGAGACGATCAGAATGTTCCTGCCTAAGTAAGTGGCAGACGTCCGCGTTGTGAATGGCGTGGTCCAACAACTCCTCTTTCAACGTCATCAGCTGGTGCTTCAGGACTCGTATGCCTTTCACTCTAATGTGGTTGTCGGTAGGATTGGGGATTTCAGGATTTTGTAGGGAATTTTAGGATTTAGTTGGGAGTTTCAGGATTTTTTGGAGAATTTTAGGATTTTGTTGGGGATTTCAAGATTTGTTGGGGATTTCAGGATTTTGTTGGAAATTTCAGGATTTTGTTGGGAATTCAAAATTTTGTTGAGAATTTCAGAATTTTTTTGGGGATTTCAGAATTTTGTTGGAGATTTTTGAATTTAGTTAGAATTTTTTATAAGTATGTTCAGGTTTGTATGCTATACTTTCTTTTGCTTCCGTATAATGTTTGATATGAATGTATCAAATAGAAAACAGATCTTATATAAATTTAGATACAATTACTCTGTGTTCAGAATCAGTATGTTTAATTTTTATAAAAAATATTTTTTTGAAGCGTATTTCTAAAGATGCGTTACGTAAAGAGTTGAAAATTAGTAAAATACAAAACAATTTGAATTTCAGCGAAGAAAAAACACGGGAAGTGATGAAAATATATTTTTCTGTTAAAGACTAATGCTGCTAGAGTAATTTTACTTTCATTTAAATCCTATACTTTTAGAAACTTTGCTTTTTTGATTGTCAAATTTATTTTCGTTATTTTTTACATTTTTTTCTCACTTTTTATAACAAACCTAAATAATTGATGACGCAACGACCTAGCGAAGGTTTTAAAAGAAGCTAATAAAAACGCCAGACGCAGATGTGCCAGGCGCTTCTATAGTTAATGAATCGTAATATACATTAACAAAGAAATATGGCTAGAACTTGTGGATGAGATGACAATTATGATGAACAGTAAGAGAACAGTAAGATGAACAAAGGGATGAACACTTAGATGAACATGGTGATGATAAACATCAGGATGAACATTTCAAAAGTGAGCATTAAAATGGAGCTGACGTAAAATTTTTACGTCTGCCGGCTCTTAATTTATTTAAAAATATTTTTTTCCTCAGAGGTCAGAGCTGTTACTAATTTTGATAGGTTTCAAACGTTTTTTTAAACACTATCACAGTCCGTTTACACGTTTGGACAGTTTAGAAGATTTGTGGCTGCTTGTGAAGTGAAAGGGAACATACTGAGACATATTTTCAAGAAAATGTTATGTGATAAAACACATTGCCTTTACTTTCAAACATTTACACCTGCAAACAAACAAATATGCAAACGTGCAAACATTCAAACATACAAACATGCAAACGTACGAACGTAAAACACTTGCATACAAAAAAAACCTAAAACTCCTCGATCAACCTTTCATCAGACTTGGCGATCAGAACTTTAACTTGTTCGTCACAAGCCTGGTCGATCTTCTTTAGAATTTCCTCCTTCGACTTCTTGATGAACTTGACAATTGCAGCATCCTTGTGACTCCACGATTTGAAAATGTCGTTGATTTTGGTGAGGTCCTGGTCAATGGAGGCCATCATTCTCCGATGTCTTCGCGACTGTCGCCTCAGCTTCAGAATCTCCCATTCGAAGAAGTCGTCGATGAAGATGGTGTGGTGTTCGCTGTGGTAGTCGAGCTGACAGACGCCGCACACGAAAGATTTGCAGTCCATGCAGTAAAATCTGATGGTTCTTGTGGGGTGCAGGAAACACAGCCACTTTGAGTGGCTCGTTGTTGAAGTCGTCCGTGTTAATGCTGATTTCGCAACTGCAGTCGCCGTTGCTTTGACGTCGCTCTGTGCCGCGTCTCCAGACTGGTTGTTGTTGTTTATTGTAGCAATGGTTGTTGTGTTGTTGATGTTGTTGTTGTCATCAGTGTCGGTGATGTTTACAGCGGCTATTGTAGTTGTATTGTTGATTTTGTTGTTGTCCATATCGTTGTTATTGTTGTTGATGATGTTGTTATTGTTATCTGAAAGGTTTTTCTCGAAGTTGATGTTGTCATTTTGAAAAGTTGTCCTAATAGCGATGTTGTTGTTAGTGTTACGGATATTATCAGCTGAACCAGAATGTAGAATCGTTCTAGTTAGTGTTGTTGCTGGATGTTCATTGTTGTCATCCGCATTATTGATATCCTCTACAACGTCATCATCCTCAAATATGTCTTGATGGCACTCATTCGAGTGTAGACACAGACCAAAATCATGGTCGAAACTTGAATCGCTGCTGCAGCCCAAGTCGCTAGAACCACTTTCCGATAATCTGATCAACTCTTTCGAAAATGTGTTCGGCTCCTCAAGTTTTGGCCTAAATTTTTCGGCATTCTCGACGCTGTGATCCGATGTTGATCTAATTTTATTGTGCACAGCAATACACTTGCAGCAAAAATACTGTCTACATTCGAGACAGTAATTGCCCGCAACGGCCTCTAGACAAATATCGCAAAACATCTTAGACATTGTAATTTAAAAACTGTGTTGTTTAATGCATCAGCAACCGCACACGCTTTTTAAGCTTATAAATGTATAAGCTTATAAATGTATATAGGTCGAAATAATTTTATAGTCTTCTAAAATTAGTCCTTCTTATAATTTAAAAAGTAAATATATCAAATTAAATAATAATAATTTTTATGTTAATCATGATATTATTTATTATAATGGGGTTTAAACCGCAGTTTACAAACGTTGAATACAATCAAAAATTTTTCTTAAATAATAATAATAGTCTAAATATACTATTACCCTACGGACTAAGTTGAGCAAATTTGATATATCAATGCACGTAAGCTAAACAATACTAAACACACATTCTATGTTTGTAGGTCTGTCTTTCTCTTTCTCTCTCTCTCTCTCTCATCTCTCTCTCTCTGTGGGTTAATTTTATATTATTATCATCCTAAAATTATCAATGTTTGTTTTATCAAACGTAAACAAAAGAACAATAAATAAAGTTTAATAAATAAAAATAAACACGTACATAGATATAATAATCTTAAAGTTTGATTATTTATTTTCAGTGTCGTTGTACCATTCAGCATTACATAATTTAAAAAAAAAATGGTGTAATCATCATCATCATCGTCGACAATCCTCACCATAAAATATTCACCAATTTCATCATCATCGTCGTCGTCTTCCTCATCATCATCACACTCATCTTCATCATCATCACATTCATTTTCTTCACATTCATCTTCATCATCATCGCCATCTTTATCGTTTTAAAACAGAACCGGGAAAAAAGTGATCTATACGAAGGACCAATCGTTAGTCAGCATTGTATTACATCATTTGTTTTGTATCATTTTGTATATCATTTTTGTATATCACTTTTGTATCATTTTTGTATTTTGTATATCATTTTTGTATATCATTACACATACAAACAATAGACACGAGCGTACAAACGTACATAGACACAAGCATACAAACATACATACAATTACACACACATATACAGACATAGGATTGTTAAGAATACTGTACAATATGTACAATCTTTCCTCAAAGCTATCCTTCTTTTGATATTCAAATGGCGAAAGATGAATAATCTAAAATGAAAGACATCCTCGCTAACTGTAAAATCAGAATATCAACAAAATTGAAACTGTTAGGGTGATACATTTTTTCTGTGCTAACTTACGGCTCTGAATCCTGGACAATTTCTAAAAAAAATTGAAAAAAAAGAATAAAACTGCTAAGATGTGGTTTTTGAGAAGAGTTATAAAAATTAGTTGAACCCCTCATACTTCGAATGAGGATGTATTAAAACGGTCCGGTTATGAAAAGAGGAAATTACTACTGATAATCCGACGGGGCAGTTAAAGTTTTTTGGTCACATCATGCGGAAGGAAAGAATAGAAAATCTAACAACTACTGGAAAGATTGCAGGGAGAAGAGATCGCGGTCAACAACAAATAACATTCGTGAAGTCCTTGCTTCACTTGTTGAATGTCACCACATTTCAACAACTACAAAATGTTCAAGATCGGGTTTTGTGGAGGTCTATGTATGGTAGCCAATGTCCTGAAAGGATAAAGCACGAGAAAGAAGAGTATACAATCATTGATACAAACATATATACAGATATATTTATGCAAACAAAATTGCAAACAAAGATACAAACATATAAAATTACAAACATAAACACAAACACAAATAAAACATACAGACAAAGATACAAACAAACATACAAACAATGATACAAACAAAGATACAAACAAAGATACAAACAAAAATACAAACATACATCAGAGTCTCTGAAGTAATGAACAGAGTAATGAAGTCTTACAACAAACAAGAGCCACCATCCTTATGTCAGTTTTTGCCATATTTTTAAATTTTAAATTAACTAACTAATTTAATCAATTGATTTATTTAATTAATTAATTAATTATCTGATTAAACCAATTAATTAACTATATAATCATTGATTTGTTAATTTTTTTCCATTTTTCCTTTATTCGTTCGTTCATTTAATAATTCATCTACATCCATTCACCTGTTCGAACATCTTTCGTATAATTCAATTAATACTACATTCATTCACTTCATTCATTCATGCATTCATTCATTCGTTCGTTTTTTCGTTCGTTCGTTCTTTCATTCATTCATTCATTTTTTCATTTACTTATATAACATCCAACCCAGCTAATGCTACAGAGGTTCAGCTAGGAGTCTACATCATAAGTTTCTACTCCATTAACGAACAGACGATGGTAAGTAAGACTCGCTGGAAAAAAAGTTCATCAAATTTTTTTTTTCAAACTCCTAACTATACTTATCATTGATGATGTATGCCTGGCGGTATTTCTCGATTAGTCGGTATAACTCGGGTCTATCGGTAGAAAAAAATCGGTCGATATTGGTCGGATTATACTCAAATAACTGATTTAATTAATTAGGCTTTAATATGTAATTAAAATTAATTAAAATGAGATATTTTTGCGAATTATCCTTACAATTGATGCGCAACAGCAACAGCATCAATAATTAAAACAAAAACACCAACAACAACTACAACAACAATAACAACAAACTCCATACCCAACAACAACAGCAACAACAACGAACAGCACCAACACCACCAAAAACCAAAACAACAAAAACTACAAGGACTACTCTGTAAGCATGTACCTGAGACAGACATGGAAAGATCCACGCATGAGCTTGAATGCAAGTAATGACGTTAAAGAACTGAGACTTGGGGACTCCAGGTACAAAGAAATCTGGTTGCCTGATACATTTTTGAGGAATGAGAAAGCTGCCAACTTCCACCTCGTGACCGTCGAGAACAGGATGCTAAAACTGACTCCGGCTGGTACCCTTTGGTACGTTACCAAGTTAGTGACCTCTCTTGAAATTGTTTTAAAAAAATTTTAAACCAACCAACCCACCAATCAACCAGCCATTCAACCAACTAACTAACCAATCAATTAACCAACCAGCCAACCAACTAACTAACCAACCAATCAACCAGCCACTCAATCAACCGATCAACCAGCCAATCAACCAACCAATCAACCAATCAATCACAGAATCACGGCAACCCTCGCCTGTCCGATGAACCTGGAAAAGTTCCCGATGGACACCCAAGTCTGCCCTATGCTCTTTGAGAGCTGTCAGAATATTTTCGATTTTTATATTTTCAATTTTTTTTATCTTGAAATTTGATTTCATTCTAATTTTTTCGTTACAAAATTTACTGAAAAAGCTTTGCATTCAGTTTAAAATCAATCAGTCAGTCAATTAATCAGTCAATCAATCAGTCAATCAGTTAATTATAAAGAGTAGTAGATTGTGTAAAAATAATAAACACGAAACAAAAACTACATTTATTTGTATGTAGATGAATCGAACAACTTGCAATATCTCGGAAACGTTTATAACATTATAATTTGCAAATTTAAACTTTGTGAGCATGTGGATGAAGCCGTAACAAGTGCAGAAGGTTTTCTTTCTGGCCAGTGCGTTAAAACAACAAATAAGGATCAGATAAAACGGCAGGGATGTGCTAATAATTTTTTTTTTCAAAATGAAAGATGTCTTTAAAATTCCGAAAACGAATAATAAATTAAAAAAAAAATAATCACTTTAAAAAAGTTGGCTACACGTATGAGACCATGTACTTCAGGATGTTGCAGCACAACGAGTCGATAGCCATTGACATCTCGCGGGATCTTCAACTTCCTCAGTTTTTCATCAAGAACTCCTCTGTCATCAACTGCGATCAGAACTATACAACTGGTTGGCCATTCATTCAGATATCTCTCTAGCTAGCTTATGTATTAGCTGAATGGTTGATTTAATAGCTGAATGGTTGATTTAATAGCTGAATGGTTGATTTAATAGCTGAATGGTTGATTTAATAGCTGAATGATTGATTTAATAGCTGAATGGTTGATTGAATAGCTGAATGGTTAGATTGATAGCTGAATGGTTAGATTGACTGAAATGTTTCAGTTAAATAACTAGTTAAGCTAACCTAAACTAATCTAAGAAAAGCTAAAAAGTTACTACTAAATTTGGAGGGTGGAAGACCTTGTTAAAAATTTCATCACGTTAATGAATCTCATTAAAAACAACTTTCCAATCCCAGGATTGTACCCCTGCTTAGAGTTTAAATTTATCCTAAAGAGAGACATCGGCTACTTTCTGATCCAAGTGTACGTTCCCAGCATCCTGATTGTTATCCTTTCCTGGGTTTCCTTCTGGATTAACGTGGATGCTTCCCCGGCCCGCGTCTCCATCGGATTGCTGACTGTTCTCACCACAACCACTATGAGTAGCGGGGCGAGAGCCACTCTGCCCAGAGTATCCTACATTAAGGTTGGTTGAATGATTGGTTAGGGGATTGGTTGGTCGATTGAATGATTGGTTACCTGGTTGGATGGTTAATCTGTGAAAACATTGGTTTGAAAGTTGATTAATTAGCTATTTAATTGATGAAAAAAATTAAAAAATTTGTTTTGTACAAATCATTAATTACTTTTATGGTCTCATACTTCATAAAAAAAATTGAATTTTAATAATGAAATTTTTCCGATTATTCCTTCTAACAAACACAGGCCATAGACGTCTGGATGATCATCTGCTTGCTGTTCGTGTTCCTCTCACTCATCGAGTACGCCGTTGTCAACGTCACAGCCCGAAGGACAGTCAGACCTCAGCCCCCTCCGTCGTTCCCGAAGCCTCCCAGAAGACTACCTCCCATTCCTGCAAACCAGACCAGGGATCTGGAGTCTGGCCTGCCCGTCTCTGTGAGTTCATTTGCAGGATTGTTGTTGAAGGGATAGTTGTTGAAGGGATAGTTAGATGTTGTTGTTTGTGTATGTATTTTAGTGGGAGAGTCGTGTCATTAGATTTGTTAGTTGGAGTGTTTTTTTTGTTAAAGTTTGTTTATTCGTTTGGTTGATACACATTTTTTATTTTATATGACGAAAAGTTAAGTTAACGACTTCATAGCAACCAATAAACAATTTTGCATCGTGCCTAGAGGTGGTGGATTCTGGAGGGGTATGCAGGGGTGTGCCCTAATTAAAATAATTAAAAATCTGTAGCATATTCCAATATATTTTTACGTCGTAATGTAATATTTCCTCATATCGTGAAAAAGATTAACAGAAAAGGTAAACCCAAAAACCTCAAATAACTTTGCCGAAAAACTAACCAAATTTAACGAGAGATAAACAAAAAAATGTCGTTGTGAACTTCGTTGATTAAAAATTACCCCTTCCCATGTCGTTGTAAACATTGCTGATTGAAAATTACCCCTTCCCACCGTCAAATTCTGGATCCGCTACTGATTGCGCTCGATAAGTTTTTTTATTTTAAAAACTTTACATAAAATAGACCAGAAATAATTCATTTCATTTTATTTCACTTCATTTCATTTCAATCCATTTCATTTCAATCCATTTCAATTCACACCATTTCATTCCATTTGTCCGACACAGCCAGGACAGCGAAAACCGAAAAAGGCCCTCAACTGTTTCAAGGTTGTATTTCACGTCTTTCCAATGGAGAACAAATATAAAAGTTTTAGTTTGAAAAATATTGCGTTCTAATTTTTTAATCAACGAATAATTTAGCATTTAGACTTGCTTATAATATAGAATTATATATAAATATAATTTAGACTTGCTTAACTAACGAAAAACTATACAAGAATTTTAACACCCAATTTAGTCCATATAACAAATCAGCCATTAAATTTTTTTAATCCCAGTACCCTATCGATTAAATTTTTTTCTAAAATTTGAGATCCCAGATATTGAAACATACCGGCAAATTTTTTATTAAAATCAACTTCGAAGTGTTCCAAATTTTTTTTACCCCCTTTTTCCACCACAGAAACACGCTGGCCGTTCCCCAAGAAACACCCCAAAACCCCAACACGACGGAAAGTACCAAGCCCGCCAGTTGGACAAGATAGCCAGGAAGATTTTCCCCATCACTTTCATCCTCTTCAACTGCATCTATTGGTCATTCTACAGTCTCTCATCAATATTTGAGTGATTTGATTGGTTGGCTGGCTGAATTGTTTGGTTGGCTGGCTGAATTGTTTGGTTGGCTGGCTGAATTGTTTGGTTGGATAGTGGTTTGGCTGCAATGTTTAGCTGGATTGATTTGTTGGCTGGTGTCAATGTTGATGATTCAATAATAAAATGGCGACAAAAATTGAGCGTGAAACTCAACCTTGACAAATAAAAAATTAATAAAACTAAGAAAACAATTTTTTTAGTAATTAATAAACTTTATTAAATAATCTACCGAGAGGTTTAATATGTTTCATTCATCTTTCTTTATGTTTGAGTTGGTGTTCTTGGTGTGATTTTACACACATACACACACAAAATTAACTTTTTCTATTAATTAGTTTTGTTAGCTTTTATAAATCGGGACCAACATTACATAAAAAAGAAGACAAACAGACATACATACATATGTACATACCTATATACACACATACATGAATACAACTTATACAAAATATGTTTATGTATTTATTTATTTTGTTTTTATTGGTGTTTGTATGTATAGTGTGTTGTTGATCAAGCTTCTAATGTATTGAATATGTAAAGTTCTTAATGGAGTTTCATAATTTTGTTCTATGTAATCCTTTCTAATCATATTTAATCAAAAGTTGTGGATATTTATTTGTCTCGTTCGTTAATTCATTTTCAATTCTTTTTTTTTATTCATTCATTCATTCATTCATTTATTCTTTCATTCATTCATTTGTTTATTCATTCTTTCGTTCGATCAAATCAATAATTCGTATTTTGACTTATGGACAGTTTTAGATTTGACCTTTGGTTCATTTATTTGTTAACATATATGGTTAGTATTTCCAATTGAATAATTTTGTTCATTTCTTCATTCATTCATTCATCCATTCATTCATTCATTCATTCGTTCATTCATTCATTCATTCATTCGTTCATTCATTCATCCATTCATTCATTCATCTATCCATCCATTCATACATTCGTTTATAAATGAATTAAAGCGTTCAAATTGTCGTTCACTTAATCAACCATTCGGGCATTTATTGAATGAAAATTCGTACGTTCATTTTTTTAATCACTTAACTATCCTTCAATTCATCCATTTAAATGTCACTTTTCGCAGTCAATCAATCCTTCATTCGTTTCTCAATCCTTTTTCGCAGTCAAACAATCCTTCATTCGTTTCTCAATCCTTTTTCGCAGTCAAACAATCCTTCATTCGTTTCTCAATCCTTTTCGCAGTCAAACAATCCTTCATTCGTTTCTCAATCCTTTTCCGCAGTCAAACAATCTTCCATTCGTGTTTTTCAATCAATCATCCGTACATTCAGTTACCACTCTCACAATCAGTCATTTGTTCGAAGTTAGTTTCTTCATTAATATGTACTTGGACGATATGATACAGAAGACATTGACCACTTTGAAATAAATGAAAATTTTACTCTACCGTTATAATATTAATAACAACGATTTTTTCAGCGAAAATGCGAAACCTAGCGAATGGAATAAAACATTTCATACTCGAAATAAAACACCAGCAAGTAACGAAATAAAACTTCTCACCGAAATCACGTCAAAATTATCTACGAAGAATCACGTACTACAGTAAATAAATAAACAATTTAAGTAAAGAGTTATAACAAAGAATACTTTAAATTAAAATTATGAAAATTGTTTTATCTATGGTGAATATAATAGCGTACAGGTGTTCTTACGTTGTTGAGCGGTCTATGTGCTGAATAGAATTTCACCTATATCTCGACCTACCTACCTACATACATACATACATACATACATACATACACACACACACACACACACACACACACACACACACACACACACACACACATACATACATACATAACCCCATACATTTATATACATACATACATGCATTCATATACATACATACATACATTTATGCATAAAAATACATATACATACATACATACATTCATACATAAACATACATACATTCATACATAAATATACATATACATACGTACATACATTCATGCATAAACATGAATACACATACATACATATATATATATACATGTATACAAACGTACCTTCATGCGTAAACATACATGTATACATATAAAAATCGTACATACATACAAAACATACATACGTACGCGCTGAATAGAATACAAAAATTTGTCTTGTTTAATAGCAAGTTGAATTCGATTCTATTATATGCTGAGGTTGGTTATAATATATTTTATTGAAATTGTTATCATTTTATTGTTCTTGTTCTTCTTGTTCTTCTCGTTTTTGTTCTTCTATAAAATACGAACTTTTAACTTTTAAATAATGAATAATAATAATTGTTAATAACAAAAAATACTTATAACAATAAGAATATTACTATGACTCATACATCACATTTCTATACCCACATACACGTACACATCCGTTGACACACACACATACACATAGACACACACACACACACACACACACACACACACACACACACACACACAAGCAAAAAGCACCTGTAATACCTGTATTAGAGCAGCATCACCTAGCATGTTCCATTTGATACAAACAAATGCACATACAAAATTTCGTCCATCCACCTACACATTCATAAGTTCATACATACATACATACGTACGTACATACAAACAAACATACATGCATACATACGTACATACAAACAAACATACATACATACACATATACATACATACATACTCCAATTGAATGCCGAAGTGTGCGATTAACGACAAATCAAAATGTTAATCGACTTGATGTTACTTGATGTTTGACTGTTCAGTGTCATTCATCATGTTTTGGTTTTAACATAAATACACACATACATACATACATACACACACTCACTCACAAATATTAGCATCCATACAAAGTTATACATACAAATATATACATACGCATACAAAAGAACAAACAAATTATACAAACATACAAGCGTACAAACTAACGAACAAACATACAAACAAACAAATAGACTGACATACAAACATAAAAAAACTTAATTAAATTTGTCGTTATGCAAAAAAAATACAGGGTGCAATTTGATTCAGACATGGTTTAAAAAAATTCATAAAGATAATAGTTTTAAGCTTTTTCAAGTGATCAATTTAGTGAAAACTAAAATAATTGATAGAAGAAAAGAAAAAAGAGTAAATGAATGAATAAATGAATGAATAAATGAACAAAGGAATGAATGAATGAGCGAACGAACAAACTAATAAATATTTCATATTTCCAAATAAAATTTTCAAATAAATGAACTAATTAATAGATCGACTGAGTAAATGAATTAATGGATTTATGAAAGAAAGGAAGAATGAATGAATGAATGAATGAATGAGTGTATGAATGAATGAATGAATGAATGAATGAATGAATGAATAAAACTTGAATGAATGCATGAATTAGTGAATGGGAGAATGAATGTATTAATATAAAATTTGGAATATTTCATAAATCATTGAACTTATAGTCAAATTAATGACAAACTGAAAAGAAGCTACAACACCGTCCGTATAATTATCACCATCATCATCATCATGATCATCATCACAATCATTACCATCATCGTCACAATCATCATCATCATCCTCATTCCTGCAATCATTACCATAATGATCAACATTCGTATGGTATTGTATAATTTCAATGTTATTATTTATCAATAATGAAACACGCACGAACACACACATACACACACACATACATACATACATAAACACACACAGACACACACACACACACACACACATATATATAAATACATATACTCATTTTAAAACAGTTTACACCTTCCTTCTTTCTCTTATCTTTCATATTCACGCTGAATCCGTAGTTCTGCGTATGTCAGAGCAGCAATAGTAAAGACTAAAAAAAAAAATTTTTAAATCCGTCCAAACTACAAACACACACAAGACACCCACCTGTTATTTACTTTTATAAAACATGCCTAAAACTTACCTACAATGACAAAGTCCTAGGTCCTAAAATTTGGCAAAAATTGTTTCTCTCTTACTAGTTTATTTCATGAAAGGCTAAAACGGACATGAAGAAAAACTTCAAAAGAGAAAATAAAATTTCAAATAATATGGAAGGTGTTCTTTGTACCCAAAACATTTAAACTATTTCCTATCTATTCAAAATTAAGCTAAAATCTCGGCTGTCCTTCTTTCCTTCCGATACCCTCATCCAGCTTTGTGTATCTTAGTTCAGTTTGGGTTGATTACGGAGTTTTGTTGGAATTTGATCGCTATTATATCCAATTTAGTGGTATATAATTCCGAATTGACAAGAATTTTTCAGTTGTAATCCATCAAATGTAATACTAAATATCAGTAATGTGAGTAATTTAATTATATATCTCTCTTCCGTTTAATTCTTGTAAAATTTATCATCTTTTAAACTTTTTTTTGGCTCCCTTATTGTAAATAAACTCTATTAGGTTGTTAATTAACATTCAGCTAATGAACCGAAATTTAATAATATGTTTTCTCTAAAAACATGCATGTTTTTTTTAGGAAGACTTACATGTGTGTGTGTGTGTTTGCGTGTGTATGTGCGTATGTGTGTGTGTATATATGTGTGTGTATATGTGTTTGTGTGTGTGTGTTTGTCTGTAAATTTTTTAAATTATACCAAAACGCCAAATTATTTGAAATATTTTCTCAATTTTTGATATACTTTTTCAACGGCCTTACGTATATTTATTTATCAACTCAAGGCGGTTTGAATCTTAATTCATCAGTGTTGTTGTTATTGTTGTTGCTGCTCTTGTTATTATTATTATTATTGTTGTTGTTGTTATAAATAACATTTTCACATCACGAATCGCATTGCAATCATTTTTTAATTTATTCCATCAATCATTCAATCAATCAATCAATCGTTCAGTCATTCGTTCCACCACCCACTCACTTATTCAATTGTTCATTCTTCATTCATTCGTTCATTCATTCAATCCCTGAAGGAATTGTCATGGATTCCAATAGAGTGGGATTGAGACCGGATTTCGTGGTGACGGTACAGGGAATTCTGAAAATTACGGAAATCGTTAGAAATATTCATTCATTCATTCATTCGTTCATTCGTTCGTTCGTTCATTCATTCATTCGTTCGTTCGTTCGTTTGTTCATCAAACCAGCAACAACAACACAAATAAACTAGTCACCAACATATACAACACAGCAACAACATATACACAAAACAACAACAACGGAACACCACCACCACCAACAACAACAACATATACAACAACAACATAATTAACAACACCAACAGATCTTCTCCATCCTATCCTTCGCAACCGCTTCCGGTCAGCCGGACTACAGCGGGCTCGGGTGGGTCGTGTTTACGGGAGTGTTGGGATTCATCCTGGCTCTTGGATTCTTCCTCCTCTACTTCCTCAATTTTTATCCCGACGTTCTAGTTCAGTACAAGATTGTTAGTCGGGTGGTATGTTTTGTGGTGTGTGTTGGTTGGTGTGTATTGGTTGGTGTGTATTGGTTGGTGTAGAATGCGTTTTTATGTGTAGTGACCTTTGTGTGTTGTTTTTGTGGTGTGTGTTGGTGTGGAGTGTTTTTGGTGTGGAATGACCTTTGGTGTTTTACTTTGAAACTGTTTTTTTTTAGTAGTCGGATCTCTTTTATTTTTTTTATAGAATTTTCAAATGATGCCACCAAATTACTAATTAATAAAAATTTATAAATAAAATCAGAATCAAATACAAACCACAATTGATTACAATTGATAGTCAATTATAAATAAATAAACAAACAAACAAACAAATATACAAACAAACAAATATACAAACAAACAAATATACAAACAAACAAACAAATAAATAATGAAAATCCGGAACAGGAAGTGATCGCGAACATGGTGCTGGCGGTCTTCTACTTCATCGCCGGGATCGTGGCAGCTGCCGCGGCCGGAAACGCCTGGTTCAATTCGCGTATCCGTGGCTGCGCAGGGGCAGCTAGTGTCAGTTTTTATGATTTTTTTTTTTTTTTTTTTTTTTTGAGGACCTAAAACTAAATAAACTCACGATACTGCTGGCAGATTGGCGCCTTTAATGATGATATTGTTGCAATAAGAAGATCGGAAGAAAGAGAAATAATTAATGGAGCAAGGCTAGGACAAGTGGAACCCTTATTTGTTATACAATTTGTTATCCAATGATAAAGACGAAAATAAGAGTGGCAAAGATATATGGAAATGATTAGCAGTGGAAGAAGATCCATGAGGCATGAATAACGTTTAGGTTAGGAAGGAGGTCACTTTGAGTGACCTCCTTCCTAACCTCAAAAACATCAAAATGGTCAGAAGAATGGACATCAAACATCAAAATGGTCAGAAGAATGGACAGTCGAGAAAAATATATTATCTATTTTTAATCTTCGTTTAGGATTTTCATAAATAAATAAAAAATGATTATTTCACATTATTATTAAAAGTTAAAAGGTTAAAGGTTACTCTCTCTCTTGCACTTGCTTCAGAGGTTTCAACGACAAACACACACAGCGTATATGAATACGCGTGAAAACCACGTATCACACACATTGCATATGATATGATATGCATATGATAGCCTGGGATCTCTTTGTATTCGAACCCAGTCACTGCAGCAGGAAAACCGGGCGCCTTTAACCATTGAGCCATCACGAGCCCTATTAATATTATCAATTATGATTCATAATTTCTCCTCCACGCAGTTCTTCTCCTTTTTCTCAATGGTCCTATTCGCAGTGGACGCCGTCCTCCTCTTCTTCAACCAGCGCACCATCCCCCACCACACCACCACCACCACAAGTAGCACAAACTCCAACCCGCCACCAGAGTATACATCTCAGACTGCCGTGTACTAGCTTGTAGTACAATGCTCTGTGTGTACTAACTACTTGTAGTACATTGCTATGTGTGTGTACTATCTTGTAGTACAATGCTCTGTGTGTACTAACTTCAAGTAGGGACTTCTTAATGCATGAAGTACTGTACTCTCTTTCTCTTTCTCTCTTTCTCACTCTCTTCTCTCTCTCTCTCTTTCTTTTTTTCTCTCTCTCTTTTCTCTCTCTCTCTCTCTCTCTCTCTCTCTTTCTCTCTCTTTATATACACACATATATATATATATATTTATATATGTACTTATATCATATTACTTTTAAGAATGTGTATACACTATATTAAATGACGAATTCATTATAAAATGTCAATTTGTCAAGAGCCACTTATTAACGGTGTGAAGTAATTATTATTGTTATTATCATATTATTATTATTATTATTTAATTTATGTTTTTATTTTTATTGCTACTTTTATCAGTCAAATTGCGATTGTCATTGTCACACGTACCTATTTATATGTGATGTGTGTGTGCATGTGTGTGTGTGTGTACGTGTGTGTGTAGGTGTGTGTGTGTTATCAATATACATATTCCATCCATTTGTTCATACACACACACACACACACACAAAAACACACACACATCACACACACACAAACACACTCACATATATAATATAGTAATCTTTATTTACAATGTCTGTGTCTATTTAAACGATTCTATTGAAGTAAAATAAAATTATATTATCTAATAGATATACTTTTATTTCAAATTATCTTCAAGTATCTATATTTTTTATCAAATTCTTGTAGCTGGCACTGAAATCTGAAATCAGTAAATTATTAAGGGACACCCCTCTCCCTCTTATATGGGTAGAGACCGCCAGGGCCTCCCCATCGTTAAATTCGGCGTAGAGATGGGCCGATAGGGGACGGCCCTGCCCTCCTAGCGATGATGTTTCATTTTGGGTTAGGGCTCTCCTACATTATACCATTCCTGGCTATGCGACTTTGTATGGTGATGTTAATTTTTTTTTATTATTATTCTTTAAATTATTATTCTGACAGACGCCGAAACTGTTACAGCAAGCAAGGAAGACAGTAGTACAAAATTAAACAAATAAGTAAAATAAATAAACGGAGCAATAATGTTATTTATTAGCCTTTTAATAATATTAATTTTAAAATATATCTACCTTAAAGAGAGCTTGGATGATAATTATGTTTTTATTATTATAAATTATATAAATTATATTATTATTGTTGTTATTTATTATTACTAATAATATTATTACTATTACGAGTCATCATGCTTTTATGACTAATTATGTTTTATTATTTTATCGCTCTGTCATTCGTTCATTTGTCATTTCTATATTACTACACATGTACGTATATTTATATGCCAATTCTATTTTTAGATTACACACACACACACTAACGCACACACACGCACACACACACACTAACGCACACACACACACACTAACGCACACACACGCACACACGAATAATGCATTTATTACGATTTTAACGAGTATTTTATCCAGATATGGTGTTCAGGAAGTTTAATTCAGCACTTAAAATGCTTTTTATTTAATTTTATTTTTAAATTTAGTTCATTAAAATGTTTTTAAAATCAACAAAGATGATTATTTTTTCATTGAATCTGTCATTAATTAACAACGAATAAGTATACACATAGCAATAAAACCAGTGTTATTTTTTTGATGTATTTTTGGACCAGGGATTGATCCATAGTTTTAAAGTTTATCATTTGTCTGAAAGCATTTTACCACCGTAATATAATCTGGCGACGTAATGGTGTAATAGGTAAGATGTCTGGCACCGGTGCAGCGGTAACCGGGTTTTAATGCAAAGAGACCCCCAAGACCTCCGGCAATAACGTGCAACATGTGTGTGTGTGTGTGTGTGTGTGTGTGTGTGTGTATGTGTGTGTGTGTGTGTGTGTGATGCATTGACAAAATTTTGGCAAAATTAATTTAAAAATTTTTTAATTAATCTCGGCGAGAAGTAGAAAAATTACTTGAAAAGTATATTTTATTGCAAAAATGAAGAGAAAACATTTTAGTTAGGATCATCATCTTACTCATTTTCATCATCATCATCGTCGTCGTCATCATTCTTCCACCACGACCATCATCATCATCATGAAAGCCACATAATTATAATAATAATCATAATAATAATAATCATCATCATAATAATAATTACTATAATCATAGAGTGAGACGAGCCAACAAAATCTACATGCAAACATTCTTCATCCAACCAACCGAATAATTCTTGCATGATTTGGTGTCTGGTTGGCTCTCACCCTCTCTCTCTCTCTCTCTCTCTCTCTCTCTCTCTCTCTCTCTCTTTCTTTCTCTCTATCTGCTTCTCTGTCTTTGTCCTGTCTTATCTTTCTCTTTCTTTCTCTCTTTCTCTCTCTCTCTCTCTTTCTTTCTTTCTATCTGCTTCTCTGTCTTTGTCCTGTCTTATCTTTCTTTCTTTCTCTTTCTTTCTTTCTTTCTCTCTCTCTCTCTCTCTCTCTATCTATCTGCTTCTTTCTTTCCTTCTCTCTCTCTCTCTCTCTTTCTCTCTCTCATTTTCTATTCAAATGCTTTTTCATGACACGATATCATCAACGATTTATAAGCAGCTCCAGCTGAACAATGGAATGCCAGCAGCAGTTTCATACCTCAGCATACAACGGTACGTTACTGTGTGTGTGCGTGTGGGTGTGCGTGTACGTGTGTGTGTGCCTGTGTTTTGTAAACTTGTGTGTGTGTGCGTGCGTGTGTGTGTGTGAGATTATTGTGATTAGATCAAGCGAAATACTTTTAAATTTTAAAATTCGCCGATAATCAACAAGCACAATAGATGAAAGTAGAAGTGAGGGGCTGGATGGAGCGAGTAAGACGCACAAATTCACGATGTTCTTGCGATTATTTCCATCAAGGTTTCTGGATTTAACCGAATAATTTTCAATAGTATATTTCAATTTCTCAGCAAATTAGCACCAAAAAGTAATGTAAGTAATGTGACCTGCCCAGATTACTAAGCACCGTTAAATATTTTTTGTCAAAAATTCATTTCATTTATTAGAAAAACCATGGAAATGTAAAAATATTAAGAGGACAGTCAACCTATCTTTACTAGCCCTGTATAGTTAAATAGTTAAACTTTGGTGCCAGCCACAAAAGACTGCAACAGCCACACCAAACCACACCAGACGGGGATCCTCAG